ATAGGTCCCAATGTTTGTAGTCCCGGAGCTTAACGACAGATGGTGGTGTAACTCCACCGATTTTGCAACATTTCCATTCAATTTGACATTGTAACATAGATTACCCTTGATTTGACTTCCCTGAAACTAGAATATTCTCTTTTCCCTAAATCTGTCTGGGAGGAGGTTGGGGACAGACTGTACAAAAGAAGCCTGTTTATTTGCTCATCTTCAGAAAACTACAGAGAATGTGAAAAATAGGCACCTAATAATGTGCCTCTTTTTCTGTGTGAAAGGAAAATATTTACCTTGCATTTAAATGTTTAGCTTTAAGCCAGTAATATAACTTTGAAGAGCATATCTCTTAAAAAAAAAAAAGTACTTTAAAAATTGGTCCTCATCCTCTTTTCCAGGTATCTAACAAGTCAGTTAAATTTTAAGTATAAATCACAGTAACACGGATAAAACCACTCTGAAGAAAGAAAATGTAGCTGTTGTTTGACTCAAAATTTTGGAGCCAATACACCTAAATGTGCGAATAACTATATTTTTATAACAAAAGACTAAAGTTGCAAGAGAGACTCACACAAGAGCCATGAACATTAAGCCAGTATTTCTTCTGTGACACTCACGTGCGTTGCTCTCCGTCCTCCTAGCTTAGTCTCATTTGGGGTAGTTTATTTCGTGCAAGATAGGCTGGCAGATACCATTTCAAACGAATTTATCTTTCTCCAGGACCTTAATAGAGCCCTGTTTCTGATTTTGTTGATTTGTGGTTTCACAGTAAAATAAAATTGAAATCAAATACATTTTCAGGAGGGAGCTTCGAGGTCCACTTGGTGAAACTCCTCATTCACCCGTTAACCCAGTTTAACTTTTCCCTGGAACCTCCTTAAATGACCTCTGCAGACACACGTACTGCAAAGGAGACCTGAGCTAGGGCTCAGAGCTGCGCGGGCGGGCTGCGACTTCAGGGACGGAATTTGGCTTTCCCTCTCTCTCCTCCACCCAGTGTTTCGTTTAAAAGCTGCCGTGATCCAGCGAGCTGACCAGTGACTAGTGCAAAAGAAGACTATTCGTTCGCTGTTTGCCCTTTCAGCGTTTTCCTCGGCTGGGGAAACCCGGTTTTCCTATTATTATACTTCAACTTTTTTTGGAGCCTGTTAGCACTGAGCGCTAAACCCCGGCCGGCTCCAGCAGCAGCCGAGGCGAACAAAGCCTGCAGTGTTCCGGGCCGTGCTGGGGCGGGGGTGGTGGGCGAGTTCAAGGAATTGCAAATAAATATATTTTATGACCACCTATCAACAAACTACATGCCACCGTAGCAGCCCCTGGTAGCCAGGCTGGGTCTGCAGTGTGACCAGGAACGGGGGCTGGGCGGGAGGCGACCCCAGGAGAGCAGCGGCCCTCGAGCCCTGGGCCTGAACTTTCACCTCTCGAACCCGGGCCCAGCCCATTGGCTGCGGCCAAGCAATCTGGCAGGGCCGCGGCTCCAGGCAGAACCAGCTTTGTCCACTCCCTGGGCGTCCTCCCGTCGGGAAGGGCTGGTGGCCAAGGGCACGCAGCAGGCAAGGAACAGATAATGGGGCGAAGACAAGCGGGGCCCACGGGGGCTGCTGGCTCAGGCTCGTTTAGGAAGACGCCTGGGAAGGGCGCTCGCCAGTGTGTGAAGTAGAGCTCCTTGGACCCAGATACCCTTTGAACCTCTGGGCGCTTGGCTATTGGTACTCATAGGAAAGAAACGTCAGAGGCTGCGAATTTCACCAAAACGTGTCTTTGTGCACAGAAAAGTGAAAGGCTACCTGACCCGGTTTCTGTCCAAATCTTGAGAAAGTAACCCTCTTTCGGAACCCGAACTTATCTCCCAAGTGGCCAAGAGTCCACCTTAATACATCTTTCCCATCCACTTCCTCCGGACACCTAGAGAGAAAGGGAAGTAACTGGGCTGAAGTGTGCGGGGGAGAAAGAAGAGAAAAGACCTGGAACGCTGTAGACCTTTCGACAGTTCTGTTACCTTTATTCACAAATCCGGTGGAAAGATGCGTCCTCCGCTTTCCAAGGATTTCGACGCCCGTTTGCCCTCCTCTCTCTTTTTTCCCTCCTACTAGAGAGTTTCAGGTTGAGAGAGTCCGTTTTTATTTAGGGTTGTCAGTCAAGCATAACAGCTGATGATTTAACATAACCTCATCCCCACCTTTCAGCAGTGCCAGGTAGGGCCATTAGGGTCTGGGGCTTTCTAACATCGATGGCCGCTCCCTCCTCGCTCTGGCCTCACCTTGAAAAAGATTCGGATTGTTAGTCCACTGTTCAGCCTGCATTTCGCAAAAGGCCATGTGGGAAAGATTGAGAGCATGCTCCATGAGCAGAGCGCTAAAAGACTGCCCGGAGTTTCAAAATTCACAGAAGGCAGCACATTTCAAAGTCTAGCTCTACCGCGTTCCTTGTTTTTTTGGGCAGAGGCCATCTACCTAGGACCAGCCCCATGATTTGTTGACTTAATTGGTTTCACTAGAAAACCTGACGGCGTGTGTGTTTTGAGATGTGGGTGCCAAGGCTTGCTTCCTCCAGGGAAGAACTGTGGTTCTGAAGGGCAGGGCTGGTGCCAAGTGTGTGTGAGAGCTCGCGTCTGCCCTTTACAGCAAGGGCGCGTTGCTCTCTGAGGAAAGGGAGGACTCAAAAGGCAGAAGTTAGGGCTGCTCGCCCGTCTCCTCAGTCACCACCATTCCCTCTTCTGCCGCCGAGATGTTAAAGTTAGCCGTTCCTTCCTTGGGGAGGAGGGTTGGGAGGAAGCCCGGGGCCGGGTTCTGTTTGCCGCCGCCTCTTGGCCACAGCTATTTGGAGGAAACTTTCAGCGCCTTTCGGAACGCCGCGCTCGGCCAACGGCTGGAGCGGAGCGGCGGGCTCCGGGAAGGCGGTCACAGCCCTGCAGGGTCGCGCGGCCCTCGGGCGGAGGAGGGCAGGAAGGACAGCGCGGGAGTGAGGTCGGCCTGCTGCCGGGGTGGGGAAAGGTCTCCAGAGGAACCCCCGCCCCGATTCTGGTCAGACAGCCCGGGTGGCCCGCCTTGCCCTCCTTTGGCCTTTCCCCCATCAACTGCCTGGGTTCCTGGGGTAGCCAGGCGGGTCACACACCCTCGGATAGGCGCAGGCATCCAGGCCAGTGCATCCCTCACACCGGTGCCTGGGCTTTGAGGTTTGGGCAGAGAGCGCTCTGGCAATTTCTTCTTTTCTTTCACTCCTGCTACTTTTACTTTCCCCCGCCACTGACAGGGTCCATCACGAATGCCTCAGTCTAAAAATCCCAGCTCCCTGCCCCTTCGTTCCAAGCCCCACCCAGGTGACCTGGGCTGCACGACTAGGAGCAAGCTCAAGCCCTCCTGGGCCCAAGTGAACCGGGAGCCACGACAACGAAGAGGGAGATACTCGGCCTCTTTCTTCCCCAGGCCGCAGAGGCGCACGCGGAGACAAGAAGGGCCAATCAGCGTGGCAGCGCGCTCGGGTCTCCCTTTCAGACTACCGTGTACTTTATACGCGCCACCGAGGGCTTTGGATCCCTTCGAGGCTTTCTGCACTTCACGTGGAATCCCCTGTTTCATTTGCCAGCAGCTCCGTCTGCTGAGAGGACGTACTTTGGGGACTGCCAAGAAGCAGCAGACACAACTCGGCTTTGCCAATACAGCATACGGTTTTGTTCTCGCCTCCCTCCCCACCCCCTTCCCTGACTCGCCGTCTGGGGCTAGCGGCAGGAGGCGGAGCAGGAGGTGGGGAGACGAGTGGGGGTGGGGGGAAGATCGCGCGCAGCACAAACAAGTTCTCGGGCGAGTTGTTTACATAGCAGGTGGACCCGACGTCAGCCACGAGGCTCCACTGCAAATCACAACAGTATCTGCCCCGCGTTCCCCCTCCCGTAAAGAAGTTTGGGGTCCGGGTAAGATGAGTGAAGCGGGGTGGAGACAGGCATTTTAACCGACTGGTTCCAAAGCACTTTTGGGATCAACAATGACAATAACAACTCAAAGTAAGACAAAACAAACAAGTGGCCCCATAGTACTTCGGAGCCCTCGCGGCGCCCCCCCCCACCCCTCGGAGGAGGCGGCTCCTCGCGCCGAGTGTGTACAGTTTGCATCGCCAACAACACGAGCGCGCGCGCCTGAGTGCGCGCGCCCGCCACGCACACTCACACTCACACACACACACACACACAGAGACACACGTACACAGATCCGGGTGGGGGGAGCGGCAGCGCGAGACAGCGCGAGCCTCCGAGAAAGCGCGAGACACGCCGGCGCGTGCAGCTCGGCGGCCGCCGCTTCGCCCCGCTCGAGCCCTGCGCCACCCGAAGCCCGCCCGGCGGCGAGCGAGTGCCCCAGTTATTTATGTGGCGGCCGCATCCGCCGGCTACGGCTTCCTCTGCCGTGACTCGCTCGTGGGTGTGTTATCTGGGGGCTTCTGCCTGGGCGCCACGGGTGCCACCTCCTGGGACGCTGCCCACCGCGTCTTTGGTCGCGGTAAGTTTCTCCGCTGTCGCTCTGGCGCGCTGCACCTCCGCACCCCACCCTGTCGGGGCCACGTCCACGCCCAGCCGGGCAGCGACTTTGCTCGGCGCTCCTCCTGCCGCGGCGGCAAAGTTTCTCCCCGGCGCCAGCGCTGCGCTGCAGGGCGAGCGTGACATGTGTCAGATTTCGGCAGGGCGTCGGGGCCGCGTCCGGACCCCACGGCGCCACTTGTTGTTCTGTCGCGTTTTGCTTCGTGATAAACTAAGGGGAACCTGAAAGAAGGGAGATTCGCTGTTGGCTTAGGATTTTTAGTTTTGAATATGCAAAATGTTGCCCGGTCCGGAGTCACTGAGGCTGGAGGGAAAAATGTGTGTCTGAATACCAGATGTGTTGTTTAAGCTTTTATTTATTGTTTGTTGTTTTTTTTTCTTTCTCCCTCCCCCTTCCCCCAAGAGGAGAAACAACAGTAAAAACATCTGGCGGTTGGAAGTGCACACTTTATTGATCCAACTGCTGACCTTTATTTACTGAATTGAGCGAGTGCACGCCTCTTCTCTAAGTTGGGCACTTCGGCGTTCAGTTCACGAGAACTTCTCTGGGAACAAGAGAGGCCTAAAAGGAGCACTCCGGCTTCTCCACTCTCAAAGCTCCAGGCCCCTAGTGACGCTCTGGGATAGCCATGCATATCAATTGGTGTCCCTGATTGCTCTCTCCCCTGGCCACGCGCGAGCACCACCCGCTTCCCCTGGGATCTGTCCTGGTTTTACTTTTATTCCGCTACGCAAAGGGCTTCTCTGCGGGTGGGTTTAGCTTGAAACCGAGCCTCGCTGTTCTTCAAGGAGAGCATGTGGGAAGGGCACGAACACCTTTGGGGAAAGGGAGGGCTTCTACCTTGACTTTTACCTGTGAGACCCCAGAGGCCGGGGCGGCGGACCAGGCGGCAGGTCCGACGCCCCTTGGCGCTCGCAGCAGGGCACGTGCGCTGAGGCTCAGGTCGAGCCAGTGGGTGGCCGCGCGCGCAGCCCGCGCGTCTTCTGCGTGCCTGCGCCCGCCCAGGAGGTAGACACGCGGTGACACCTCGACCTCGCTGTGGGCGCACGCTTGGTGTGGGTGTTCAGGCCTCTCTCGTGAGGACACGGAGGAAAAGTTGCCCTCCCCGCTTCTGAGATCTCTTAGGTAAGTCTCTCAAGGTACTTGGTTCACCGGATGACACTTTCATTACAAGGAACCGGAAGGGAAGGGTGCGTTCCAGTCTGGGGAATTTGAAAGGAACCTGTTCGACTTTCGCTTAAGGTTGAATCAAAAGAAGCCCAACTGGCCACTCTTTGTGGGGGGCTACTCGGAATCTGGCATCCCTAAGGAGTTAGCCCCATCTGTGTATTTATTTATTCAGCTTTTAAACCAATAGATTCAAACCCCTTAAAGGACAGCTGTTATTTGTAAGGCTCATATCCTCCCCCCCCAAACACACGCACACGTTGTCTCTCACCACATGTTGAAATCCAGTCAGTTTCATGATCTTCCTGGAGTACTTGATATTCTTCGAGTACTGGTGGCTTCCAGGCAGACAGGTTTTGGTGACAGAAGGTGTCTAAAGTGGCCTGCGTGCGTTCTCAGGAGGGAGGGAGGGAGGGAGGGAGGGGGAGGGACGAAGACTGTGAAAGACCTGTGGGAGTGTGTGAGGTGTGTACACTTGTAGCCATCGTGGATTACAAAGTCTGTAAGGAGCCACCTCCCAACTTGCCTACAGTGTACGTGGAAGAAGTAGCAGGTAAACCCAGGGGAAGAGTAACACCTGGTGTCAAGTAGCTAAAGTGGCCGCTTTCCAACTGGAAGTATTTGGAGAGATTAACTTGTAGAAAACAAGTTTGCCAGAAGGTGCATCTTTTCATAGTCTTCTAACTCAAATAGTTTAGAGAGGCAACGGTGGAGAGAAGAGGGGGTGTATTTAATAGCAACTGTTTGTGTTAGAGGTCAAAACTGACGTGAAGATGACCTTTCAGATATTTTCATCTTAAAGTTTGCGTTGTGGCATGCCTAGGGAAATGTTTTATGTTGTCAAGGGGCCTGTTTATCTTCTCTGTCACTGTGAGTTATGGGTAAGTATATTCTCAGTGTACTGGAATTTTTAAACGCAGTGTTTGTTTAATGCTGTTAAACAAAATTTACAAGTTTGATTTATTTGTATCTACATTGATAGAGTGAAAATAAAGTTATACACACTGTGATCATCAGGGTCATAAAATTTCATATCTGGATTAGAGCTTTTTAAAGTCCTTTTTCTCCCTCCTTCCTTTCTTGCTTCCCTCTGTCCATTACTTAATCTGACCCATGTTCGCTAGTAGTTCAGTTCAGTACTTATGAAAACCACAGTTTTATTGTTATCTAAAATTAAGCAAAAGACATTTTTAATGTTAATTAAATTACACTTTCAAAGAAGACACTGGAAACCTGATGATACTTCCCTTCAGGTAAGTGGGAGAAAAGGACACAACTTTAAAAGATCATCATAAATTTCACTTTTAAGCAGGAAAAATATTTTTTCTTTTAACATTCAATTTAAATGAAATAACAAATACTTGGCTTTTACACATAGATGATTAAAATGTTGCCATTATATTTCAGTGTATATTGCAATAAATAAAGGAGAAATTACACATCTAAAATTGTGAACTGTGTACAGTTGTTTTTCAGAATGGCCTGACATGTTTTGGAACATTATCTTAATAGAATTCACATTCTGGAGTAGAATGGTAGCATTAATTACATTATGATATGAATACATGTATGAATTGATGTGTAGGCATACTGTCACTGGAGTTGTCTGTTTTTGCTCTGATAGTGCACTAGTTTTGCTTGAAAAATAAACCTTTGTAATTTTCTAGGATCTGCACATCTGTAGGAAATAGTCAAATGTGGCACACCATAAGAGTAGGAAACAGTTGAACGTTATTTATAGGTATAGATAGTCTATAATGAGAAATCATATTCATTTTGTAAAAGCAAGATTTCAAAAAACACATACCCCTATTTGAATAGCAACTAGAATTATGCTTTATGAAAAGCATATTTAAAAATGTGAAAATACCTACCTGGTTTGATTGAAATGCACACAACAGTTCAACAAACATAGTCATCAAAATTTACTATTTTTATTTCACAAAACAATATGAGACATGAAGAACTTAGTTTCTTGAAAGGGCTATCTTTTGTGATTTTTTAAAAGGATTTAGAGCCAGCTCTGCCTCCACAATCCTGTTAATTTCTGTGTTGCCAGTCTTGTGTTAAATCAGATATTAGTTATAATACTGAGAGAAAACTGAGCGATGGACATGGTCATGCATTTCTTTCTGTTTCTCTAAATTAAATCAGAAAGAGCTCACTGACTTGTAAGAAGAGAATGTGATTCAGGACACAGGCCACTAAGAAGTTTTCTTGACATGATTGTTCCTAGACAAAATTACAAATTCTAGTTAAATTCACAAATAATATCAGTCCCATAACAATTACTGTGCACACATTTTTGGCCCAAACCACTTTTTGATTAACTTTATGATAAATAGTAGCTTTCTTACCCTTAACTCAATGGACCCAAAATGTTTTAAGAGTTCCCAAATGCATACTGCCCTTTGATGTAAGAAATCCTGTTTTTTGATGAGGCCTAGTGAGATCTTAATATTTATGAAAACAATCTTAGTTTTTAGCCCTTAATACATATACTGTTCCAAAAAACTTGAACAAATACAACCCAGAATGATTACTGTATATATTCTTTTCTTTTTTTTTTTTTTTTTTTTCCTTTTTGTTCTTAATTTCTCTCCCTCTTTGTTCCTGTTCCTGTCCTATTTTGGAATTTTTTTTTTTTTTTTTTGGTACCGGGGATCGACCTCTATAATGGGAATTCAGTGCTTGAAACTTAAAAAAAAACATATTCCAGGGTTCGTGTCTGTAGACGGTTTAATACCTAATTTGAATTTTACATGGTGTCAGTTTTCTTCCTTTTTCAAATCAAATAAACATTTCCTGAGATACATCTATTTATTTTGTGATATACTTGGACTAAAGCTATATCACTCCCATAGTCTTTAACAATTGAAATAAAGTTCTGTTTTTTATTTCTTTTTGTGAGACTTAGAAGGTTACTTTCATTATTAGTTTACTGTTTTGTTCCATATTTTTATCTTCTTCATTTGTTTTTTAGAACTTTCAAGAAGGCCCTATTAACTACTTTTTGTTTTGTTTCCTCTTACATTTTAAGCATAGCTAGGAGGGTTGTCTGAAAAGACAACTTTTAAAAATTAGCCTAATATTGGTTCTATGAAAATTCATTCTTTTTTTAATTATATAAATGCTTGTGTTGTAGGAGTTCTCTCCTGTAGAATATTCTTTCCTTGTAGATAATCTTACTTGATGCAGTAAGTGGGTACTTACACTTGCATATTTACTTATCCTGTTACTACCTTGCTCTGTGCTGCATTTATCCATCCCTGTCCCTAATTTTCTAGACAAACCAAGTAAACAAAAAAGTAACTAGCCTTGTGAAATGTAGAGAAATATAGGAGTATGAGATTGTTAGAAACTGAGGTGCTGGAGAAAGGGCTTTAAAGAAGATTTAGATTTGTTAGGTTGCAACATTAGTAATATTAAAACAGAAGAGTAAACTGTGTATGATTTGATGTATTTTCAGGAGTAGCATTCATAGCAGGTATTTTTCCTTATAAAGAGTTGTTTGGGTAATTTACTGTTTCTTCAAATATAGTATTATTAAGTTTTGGCCTCTTTAATTTTAGGAATGTAATTTCAAATTTACAATTGGAATGATTAGAAATTTTTGTTTAGTCATACAGATATTTACAGCTCAGCTAACTTAACATCCTTTTAAATGATGGATTCTGGCATCACCTCTATTTTATTGTGAAAACAGTGTTCTATTGTAGTGACTTATGGGATATGACTCACTTTTACTTTTTCATTTTGCAATTGTGAATTTTGTTTATTCTCTAAGTAGACTTGTATTTGTTTATTTTTTCAGCTTGCATATCATTTGAACTCTAAAATTATTTCAGGTTATTTATGTATATTCACAATTTTACTTAAAATACATCTGCCTAAATCACTGATAAGCTCCCTGGTTAAATGGTTTTGAATTTTTGGATATGTGGAATATGCATTCTTGGACTACTATTTTGAACTACTGAACTACTATTTGACTTCAGCTTTCAAATCAGCTGTATTCTCTCTTCCAATTGTCCACCAAGAATATCTAGAGCACACCTTCCTTTCACATTGATGACTATGTCATACAGAACTGATGTCTTCATTCCCTTCTGCTATGGAAAGCACGAGTGAATAAAACTTAGTGTTGAAGAAGCACATTGCTGTGAGCAGATGAATCCCCAGGGGTTTGAAAGCTCTCAGAATTTTTAGTTTATTAATGTTCCTCAATTTCCTTCAATTTCAGACTTGGAAGATTTAAACTATATCTTGTGGAAGACAATGTTGTTTTAAATTTTATTGAAGGTTTTAATAGTTCCTTTTAAAGATTTTTCTAATGTAAATCTAAAAATCTATGCCATCAGAATGCCCTAAGTTTTTTTTAAAATAGGTTATGAAAATTAACTTTCAGTTTCTCAAACTAAAGATGTTACTACAAAGTATTTAAAGACTTTTTGGTATTCATTTAATTTTCTTCTCAATTTTTTTGATTAGTACCTATAGTAATGCCTCTGTTCCTTCTGGGAAGTTGGTACATGCTCATAACACATCTTCATTCCTTTTTGCATCCCCTTTCCCTTTCTACCCCATCTTGTGGTTCTCAACTATAATGTTTATTTTATGTCATTTTCTGTGAAAATTTTCTGTATTATTTTAATTATTTATCATTTTGTACACATATGCAACAGTAGCCACCATTCTGCAACTTTTTCTAATCCTAAGAATATATAAACTTTCTTAAAGTGTATTTTAGGAGGATGGAAAAAAAAATCAATGGTAGACATATTTGGAAAAAAGCATAAAAGTTCTCGCTGACAGTGAGGAAAAACTCAGAGTACACTAATCCAAATATCTTAACATCTTAGCATATGTAGTCTGTCATAAAATCATCTCATTAAAAAAAAGATTCCCAGCATCTTTAAGAACTGTTCCACACTATTGCTTCACCCACATTTTTGGCC